CACTTACTGTTGGTCAGTATTCAAGTGTTCCTTCACCTTATCCAACGAAAAACCAAAACGCCGTGAGAAAGAACGGAGAGAAATGGCGACTTTGGCTCAGCAATTCACAGGCCTGAGATGCCCACCGCTCTCGTCTTCCTCCCTTTTGAAGAAACCAAAGCAAACCCAAAAGATTGGAGCTTTTGCTCTTCCAATTGTATCAGCGGCGGCAATATCCAATGCACAGACTGGGGAGAGGGGTGAACTCAAAACGATGTTCGAGGAAGCCCATGAACGCTGCCGCACTGCCCCCATGCAAGGTGTCTCCTTTACCCTTGAAGACTTTCACGCTTCTCTGGACAAGTACGACTTTGATTCTGAGCTCGGAATCAAGGTGAGCTTTCTATGCTTCTTTTTGTTGCTGCTTCTTGTACAGTATTTACTATTTCATTTAGTCAAATTATGGATTGGTGGTGTTTGCTTGGGTTTGAAATAATTGCTGAATTAGAAAAATTGGGGGCTAATAATAGGGAAGATTTTAGGGAATGTTTCATGTCTTTTAGTTGGAGATTGTGTTGTTTGATGCATTCCACAAACTAAAATGTATATGGTAATATCTGGATTTTGGGATGCATATTTTGCTAATCAGTTGGTTCTGTTTTATGATTATTAGGTTAAGGGAACGGTTTTCTCAACAGATGCCTACGGGGCATTGGTTGATATTACTGCAAAGTCTTCAGCATTTTTACCGGTGGAAGAAGCGAGCATTCACAGAATTAAACATGTGGAAGAGGCGGGTATTGTTCCTGGTATAAGGGAAGAGTTTGTGATTGTTGGGGAAGATGAAGATGATGATAGCTTGATTTTGAGCTTAAAGGACATCCAGTATGGACTTGCCTGGGAGAGATGTAGGCAGCTTCAATCTGAGGATGTTGTAGTCAAGGGTAAGGTGTGTATTTCTCATCAAAGGGATTTTTCTTGTTCTTCCTTTATGCATTTTGACTTTACTGGTTTAATGCATAGCCTAATGGTTTAAAAGGTTGGGATTGTATTGTTGTAGGAAGAACATTAAAAATTTGTATGGCAAATGGTTTCTTGTACCTTACATCTTTCAGGGAATTTGAATCTTGTAATTGCATCGTTGTTGTGTTCCATTTAACCTGTATTTATATAGGTTGTTGAGGCAAATCAGGGTGGAGTAGTGGCCATGGTAGAGGGCCTCAAAGGGTTTGTTCCATTCTCACAGATATCATCGGTTAGTTCCTACCTGTTATTTCTGAAGCTTTATGTTTTATGAGCGTATCAAATATCCTTTGAGACTTGTGATTCACTTTGGAGCATTGAATATTATTTATATGGTTCACAATGGAATAAGAGCAAGTCTCATACCGGCATGTGGTTGTGTGTGCAAATCAGATTTTTTTGTCTGGTTCAAGACTTTGGTCAATGATTCTTTGTAGAATTATGGTGGCAGTTGCACTAAGTTTAACGTCCGAAGTATGATACTTGACATACTCTATCATGTTATCAGAAATCAACTGCAGAAGAGCTTGTTGATAAGGAGCTCCCTCTTAAGTTTGTGGAGGTTGATGAGGAACAGTCTAGGCTTGTGCTCAGTAACCGCAAGGCCATGGCTGACAGCCAGGCACAGTTAGGAATTGGATCAGTGGTCCTTGGAACTGTTCAGAGCTTGAAACCATATGGGGCATTCATTGACATTGGTGGAATTAATGGTCTTCTTCATGTCAGTCAGATTAGTCATGATCGTGTCTCAGATATTGCAACCGTTCTTCAACCGGGTGACACTCTTAAGGTAACCTCCATTTGTCATGTTAATTTGCGGGGAAGGAGTTGCTTTTCTGTAAAGTCATTTTCAATTCCTTGCCAAATGGTGTAGGTCATGATATTGAGCCATGACCGTGAAAGAGGCCGAGTAAGCCTTTCTACAAAGAAGTTAGAGCCAACTCCTGGAGACATGATTCGCAACCCAAAGCTTGTTTTTGAAAAGGTAGTCCCCAACACTGGTCTATTGGCCTCAATCTTTCTGCATGCAGTTTCATTTATAAGCTATTACTCAGAATTCTTCAGATGGTCTTTCCTAGCCCTGCGTTTTTCTGTTGTGCCTTATCTCTCCTGACATGCTAAATACCTCTATCTTTGTCCGGAGCATGTCTATTTCAGTACTAACAAGGCTTACTCCTCTAACAGGCTGAGGAGATGGCTCAGACATTCAGACAGAGAATCGCTCAAGCAGAAGCCATGGCACGAGCAGACATGCTTAGGTTCCAGCCTGAGGTACTCGTCATCATGTTATTCACAGTTTTTTATGCTCACCCGACAAAACAAAATTAAATAAATCAAAATGGAGAGGCAACCAGAAAAGACTCAAGTCTACTGCACAAAAAAATTACTGAAAAATTGGCATTAGCTTTACATCTATCGAGTTAACCTTACTGTTCAGTTCTCATTAATTTTGCAGAGTGGTTTAACTCTCAGCTCTGATGGGATACTGGGTCCCCTTACATCGGACTTGCCAGAGGAAGAAGGCCTGGACCTGAGCGAGGTTCTGGCAGCAGAGGATTCTTAACTGATCTGAATGACCTTTTCGAACCTTTGTATTATTTTTCATTCATCATATGATCCACAATGTAAAAATCTGTTGGGGCTTAACAAGCTATCTTTTGTTTTTCTTCCTGCCTCTGCCCCGTAAACAAGCGAGAGCATGTATATGCAGACATTCTCTTAAAATTAAGATGGAAGAGTGTATTTATACAAATAATTTTATTACTAGGCTAGATGATACAACTGAGAAGATGAAAAAACTGTCAAAGCATAACCTGCAAGATTTTTCATTGATTTATGTATGGTTTGTCCAAGGCAAGAGGTTCCAGAGTCCTTATCATATACATTCTCGGTTACACCCCAGTTAAGGGGATAAACAAAGTGAAAACAAGTTTTTAGGAAGCAAGGTCTGTCTGTAGTTGATATCACAATTCAGTCATTCCATATCTGCCTAGCTTTCTTCTTTCTTGCTCTTCTTGCTTTTCTTTTGCTTCTGTTTCAATTGGGTAAGACCCGCAGCTGTGATCTTCACATTGCCAATAATTGCTGCAACCAACTCAGGATCTGTACATGCTTTCATCAATTCCTTTTCTCTGTTTGTAGCCTCTGGCATGTGGCTAAATAAATTCATGGCAGTCTTTGCAGCTGCGAAGGGGAAAAAGGAGGTGGTTAAAAAAGCTCCAGTCAACAAACTTAACTTCCATGAGAACGTTAGATTGCCAGATCCTGATACTCAGAACTATATAAATTTCAATTTCAATGTGAAATTAGGAAAACCGGAAATGATTGCCTTAAATATGCCTTGGCAGCAGAAAACACATATAGAAACTCAAAACTAAAGTCATGATCACTGATGTTAAAGATGATACCATAATATCTACATCTAACATAGAAAAATGTTTTACCTTTCCCTTTCTTTGCAGATCCGGGAATAATCTTCACGCGGTATTTATATGATTGCAGTGCATTATAAGGTCCGCAGACAGGAACAGCATATAAGAGAATATCACTGGGCAGTGGATTTCCGGTCAAGTAATCCACATCATTCAGTTTTTCTTTCTCATCTTCCCCTATCTCATGGACATCATCTTCCTCAATGGCTACCCTGTCCAACTCACTAGAATCATCCACACCCACACGGTGATCATCTCTGATTCCGTTTTCATCAATATGCAAAGTATCATCTGGATGTTCTTGACAATCCCGAGAGAGGTGACCTGGCTTTTTGCATTTATAACATACTTTTATAGCATCTTCAGGAACTGCAAGGTACACAGCACATAATGGTGAGCATTACATTTTTTAACAAGTTAGCCACTCTTCAAAAAATAAATGCAAAATGATTCTCCACTCAATATTTCAGACTAAACAAGTAATTGAAAAATGATATCAATCTGCAATCAATATAACCCAGAGAGACATACCTCTTGCAGCAGGTTTCTTCTCTTTGTCATTGGTAGCATTTTCATTTTCTGACCCACCATCGTTCTTGATAACTTTTCCAGCAGACTGTAGGCATAAATGATCAGTTTCAGCATACATTGGGATCGCTACTTAGAACATCATAATGGATATTTAACAAAGAGGATATAAGATACTGGGACTAAAGAACAAAGAAACAAGGGAAGGTAGAAAACAAAATTGATTGGACCTGGAAAACAATAAATGTAGAACAGTTATGATACTCACAGCCAATAATGCCATTCGTATGTTTCTTTCTTCCTCATCCTGATCAGCATACTTCTCCTTTATCTTCTTGAGTTTGCCTCTCTGCCCACGACTCATTTTTCCACTACCTTGCTTCTTATTTTGTGCATCTGTATTGGGCTGACTCACAGAACCCCCAGCCTCTTTTACCTTTTCATTTCCCTTCCCAACTTTAGAATTGGAAGCATCACTACTCTGGCCTTTCTTGAGCTTTCTTCTTTCTGTTTTTGAAATATAAGGCTTGTCCCTAACTGCAGCTTTCTTGTCTTCATGATTATCTTCATCTTCTAAATCAACTTCAGATGTTTCAAACCCATAAACTTTACCAGACACAGTACCAGAGCCAAGCACAAGAGTTCTATCAAGAAGATCCTCAAGTTGTGGAGTGACTGATGCAACATCATTGCCAACAATATTAGATACATTCTCAGTTAGAACATTATTCAGGTCAGTTCTTCCTTCAACTGCTAATTGATGTGCATCAATAGCTTCACCTTCATTATCAGATTCTGATTCTGATTTTTCTTCAAGAGGACCACTTTCTTCAACATCATTTATCCCTTCTTCCTCACCTCTTACCCTCCTTTCATTCAAATGTGATCCCAAGGAGCTTTCATCCAAACGAAATAACAGACCAAAGCCCATTATCAGCGGATGTGGAGGAAGGAAGTTCTTTTTCCCACGAATCATGAAACTTCCAACTGTAAGATATTCTCCTGTAGGAGCAGTTTTACTGACCTGGTGAGGATAGACCCACCAAGCACTGGTGACAATCTTAGAGTCCCATGCTTGGCTGTGGCAAACCTATGTCACAAAATTAAATTCCAATTGCATGTATTATTTCCATTCTTCATAGACATGCATAATAAAACGTAAATTAAATATGTCTAAAATATGCTGATCTAAAAACAAAAAATGTGTATGAAATATGGATCACTTACTGTAAAACATCCTGCTTGGTTTAAAGTGAGAGGAGGTACAAGTTGTTCAGGCCTGTGATTCTTGATCACAGTACTAGAAGCTCCATGCAAATCTGCATGGACATAGCTGTTCCATAAAAAAATGAAAAAATCAAAGATCAGTGCCAACAAATATTGTTCCCTGCTCTTAAAAGCAAATAAGCAAAGATATAGTTGAGTTGCAAATGCCAAAACATGTGCACTACACTTATATTCCTCAGAGCCAAGAAACAAAATGAAAACTCCAGAAAACAGCGCCAGAACTTCCAAGCGAAAGTAGGTTCCGGTTTGGATCAAGTCATATTTTTTGCTCCAGTTGTGCTCAATATCCAAACCCCCACCAAAAAAAAAAAAAAAAAGAAGAAAAAAACCTCATCCACAAAGTTTAAAAATTATGGAGTTGTATATTGAAGTGAAGTCTCAAAATAAATAGTCAAAAAACACATATGAATTATGCTAGCAGATAATTCGGTTTCATTCCAACACGTGTTACTTTACATCTAGGGCATAAAAACTTCCGAACAAAATATGAATGCAATACGTCAAAAGGTCAAAATGAAAACAAAAAATCAGAAAAATAGTATCATATCATAGAAGCATTCACTTACAGATCTCCTTTTGACATATAACGCTTGACTATCATGTCATTTTGTTGTGCATCACGTCCGCTAATAACTAGATAGTTCTCACTGCTTATGAACCAATTAAATTTCTCAAACCAGTGAACTTTGCGCATATGTGAAATTGTAGCGGCAGTTTTTTCCTGCATATTCATAGTAGAGAGGAAGCCAAAAATAAGTACACAAACATTAGGAAATAAATCAGGTCAAGAAAACACCACCACCACCAGTAGGATCACAAGAGTTCTATAGTTCCATCAGTTGTTCCCTCCCAACACACATATGGAGTTGCAATTACACAGATGATCTCAATCAATATTGATGCTTGGAGAGTATTAGAAACAGGAAAACTATGAGAAATGCAAGACCAGGCAACCCATGCTGAGGAATTAAGAAATAAAAATATTAATGGGAGAATAGCCATTAAGACCACGAGGTACATTATTACACTAGGGAAAATATCCAATGTCCAAAACTCAAGATGCACTGGCCAAGACAACAGAAATAATATCACAACAATGTAAATAGGGAGATGAGAAATGAGTAACATGATACTAGACTAAAGCTACCTGTGAAAGTTGAAGATGAGTCTTTCTCTCAGCTGCCTTGAAAGCCTTTTCATGTGCTGTAATAGTCTTTTCCTGTTTGCTCTCCTGTTTTTTCTTCATGTCATACCACCGGCGAGCATTGGCATGTGCAGAAAGTGCCAGATCAACTTCAACCTAAAATTTTCAAAAAAAAAAATGGTGGTGATAAATAACCAAAAGATAATTTAGAACAAGATATTTGGAGAAGTATTTCGAATCATCACATATGAAAAGTTAAAATTTAGCGACCCAAAAGAAGAAGAGATCTAAATTAGCAATTAAACAAATGAGAAGCAAATAAAATCATTGGGTGTGTAAAAATTAATGATAGGAATATAAAACTTGGTTATAAGATGATAAGCTTAATCATTTAAAACAAAAAAGACAACCACACTTGGTTATAGAGCGCAAAAGCTTAAAATTAAATTAAAATGACACCTTATCCACAGGGAGAGTCTTTTCATCATCATCCATCTCATCAAGATTGTTGCTCAACAACAGTGTCATGCAATTCCTCTCAAGAAGGAGCTTGTCAATTAGCCCAGCCACAGGATTTCCCAATTTCTTCTCTTCCTTTACCATACGAGCAAGATCCTCCCAATTCATACCCTTTGCAAGTGCTACACGTACGGCTAGTATTGCAGCATCCACATCTTCCAGGTTATACTCTATCAATTCTGCCATTCTGATACAATGGTCAACTTCCTTCTTTAGTGTATGGACACGATTTTCCTGTAGTATAGATAAGAAATTCATTAGCAGAAGGAAAAAAACTGTAAAATATTGGTCCAAAAAGCTACAATAACTAAAACAACCTGTTAGAATCTTTTGAATTTATTTACTATATATGGTGTCACACATAAAATGTTTTAACATTTTAGGAAACAGCAAGAGATGACTACAACTGATTGAATGGCACAACTGCTGTCCCCCTTCCAATCCAAAAATAAGAAAGCCAGCCCGCCCACACAAAAATAAAGCATTGTCTCACTTGCATCAATGCAAAATAATATCACAAACCTGATCAAAGCGAATCTTGTTTAGTTTCTGAGCAGCAGAGCTCTCTTTTGCCTTTTGCTGTTGTTCAGCCCTTTGATTCTCAATTTTACTGTAGAACTCATCCAGAGCTGCATCGAATGTTTCAAACCTCACATGCTCTCTTAACTTAAATTGATTTAGTAAAATAGGACAGAATTCATCATATATCTGCAGGGTATAACCACAAAAGAATAAGCAACAACACTTTGAAACAGGAAATCAAACTACATAGCTTCATAAAAAAAAGTGTAGACTGAAAGATTTGCTAATGTTCTGTAGCACATTAATTAGAAAAGAGATACAGCAGCAAAACCTGGCTTCCTGGTTCAGATGGCAATCCATTCTTCACCAGATTCTTATTCTGCATTAATATATATCCTTCAGGAACCTTGTCACCTGATATAATGTCCTGTAGCCAATCCTCAAACCTCCCAACAGCTTGGGCCACAGCCTGAATTTTATCATCATCTAACTGGTTATCTTTAGAAACTTTTGTATTTGGAACCAAGCCAGCATCTAAAATAATATGCTCAGAAAGTGCAGGCCCATAACCCAATGCCTCTCCAAGAACATTCTTCAATGTGACTTGTTTTACATGAGCATTCTCACTGGGATTCTTATTTGCCTCTGAAGATTTCCCACCCTTGCGGCTACCCAGCTTTTCTCTTAGTGCATTGGACACATCACTTACCCCTTCATTGGTCTGAGCAGTTTCATTCTCATCAGGTTCCTTAGTACAAGAAAGAGCTGTCTGCAGCTTTGAAATAGTTGTTCGATCAAAAACTCTACAGATCTCTGTAGGATAACGATGGCGTGACATGATTGCAACCCCTTTATCATCATCCCTGCCATTCATGAAGTTGTGAGACTTTTTCCATCAAAATAGTTGGGTTAAGCAGGAGCTAGTAACATAATACCATCCATATTCTCAGTTGGTGTACTTATCATGTTAATGCATTAAATATAAACATCAAGGAGCACACACAAGCAGAGCTCAAAAGTAAACAGAATACAGATGGATCATAAATGGCTAACCTGTGTGAGCGGAGAAGAGTCAGAACAGTAAATTCAGAATCAGTGAGAAGAATGTTTCCTTGGGCATATAACTCCAGTATTACATAATGCGCATTGGCCCCCAACCCAAATTGGAAAAGAATTATCTGACAATGATGTTACAGAAATAAGAAAAAGAAACATAAAATTTTCAAGGAAATCACACAAGAGAATGTTGCATTTAAGAAAAAGGAGTCCCAGTGATAGATAGTTAGATACCCTATCATAACCAAGTTGCCGCACATCTTCAAGCCTTCTCGTGCGTATATGCTTCCTTAACTTTAGAGTAAACCCAGAAGGTGTATTACTTTTGTCCCTGTATAAGAAAAAGAACAGAACTTAGCAACTAATTGAAAAGTGAACACCCCCACACACCCCACCCCCCCCACAAAAAAAAAAAAAAAAAAAAGAAGAAAAAAACCTCATCCACAAAGTTTAAAAATTATGGAGTTGTATATTGAAGTGAAGTCTCAAAATAAATAGTCAAAAAACACATATGAATTATGCTAGCAGATAATTCGGTTTCATTCCAACACGTGTTACTTTACATCTAGGGCATAAAAACTTCCGAACAAAATATGAATGCAATACGTCAAAAGGTCAAAATGAAAACAAAAAATCAGAAAAATGGTATCATATCATAGAAGCATTCACTTACAGATCTCCTTTTGACATATAACGCTTGACTATCATGTCATTTTGTTGTGCATCACGTCCGCTAATAACTAGATAGTTCTCACTGCTTATGAACCAATTAAATTTCTCAAACCAGTGAACTTTGCGCATATGTGAAATTGTAGCGGCAGTTTTTTCCTGCATATTCATAGTAGAGAGGAAGCCAAAAATAAGTACACAAACATTAGGAAATAAATCAGGTCAAGAAAACACCACCACCACCAGTAGGATCACAAGAGTTCTATAGTTCCATCAGTTGTTCCCTCCCAACACACATATGGAGTTGCAATTACACAGATGATCTCAATCAATATTGATGCTTGGAGAGTATTAGAAACAGGAAAACTATGAGAAATGCAAGACCAGGCAACCCATGCTGAGGAATTAAGAAATAAAAATATTAATGGGAGAATAGCCATTAAGACCACGAGGTACATTATTACACTAGGGAAAATATCCAATGTCCAAAACTCAAGATGCACTGGCCAAGACAACAGAAATAATATCACAACAATGTAAATAGGGAGATGAGAAATGAGTAACATGATACTAGACTAAAGCTACCTGTGAAAGTTGAAGATGAGTCTTTCTCTCAGCTGCCTTGAAAGCCTTTTCATGTGCTGTAATAGTCTTTTCCTGTTTGCTCTCCTGTTTTTTCTTCATGTCATACCACCGGCGAGCATTGGCATGTGCAGAAAGTGCCAGATCAACTTCAACCTAAAATTTTCAAAAAAAAAA